GCAGTGCTACTACAGAGAACACACACACACAGGCTGTCAACCTAGTAGACAGTGCTACTACAGAACACACACAGGCTGTCAACCTAGTACACAGTGCTACTACAGAACACACACACACTGTCAAACTAGTAGACGGTGCTACTACAGAATACACATACACAGTCAATCTAGTAGAGGGTGCTACTACAGAACACACACAGGCTGTCAACCTAGTAGACAGTGCTACTACAGAACACACACAGGCTGTCAACCTAGTACACAGTGCTACTACAGAACACACACACACTGTCAAACTAGTAGACGGTGCTACTACAGAATACACAGGCTGTCAACCTAGTAGACAGAACACACACAGGCTGTCAACCTAGTAGACGGTGCTACTACAGAACACACACAGGCTGTCAACCTAGTAGACAGTGCTACTACAGAACACACACAGGCTGTCAACCTAGTAGACAGTGCTACTACAGAACACACAAACACTGTCAAACTAGAAGACCGTGCTACTACAGAATACACATACACTGTCAATCTAGTAGACGGTGCTACTAAAGAACACACACAGGCTGTCAACCTAGTAGACAGTGCTACTACAGAACACACACACAGGCTGTCGATCTCATGGATGGTGCTACTACAGAACACACACAGGCTGTCAACCTAGTAGACGGTGCTACTACAGAACTCACACACAGGCTGTCAACCTACTGTAGTAGACGGTGCTACTACAGAACACACATACTGTCAAACTTGTAGACGGTGCTAGTACTGAACACACACACACTGTCAAAGTAGTAGACGGTGCAACACACACACATTGCCAAAGTAGTAGCACATTTGCACTGTCATCTCCCACACTGGCACTGCTAATGTTACTAGCACTACAAGTAGCATTACTGAACAAGTTGGTTAATTTTCGAAATTTGGTTGCATCAACCTTAAGAGACTTTCTTTTCTTGTCTCTTAATTTTTCGGCACCACCTTTGCATTCTTTACTGGAATGACTTTCCATGGCATTTTGACGCATCACACAGATCCAGCGGGCTTTTCCTCTCTGACTCTCCCCCACCCTCTATCGGCATGTAAGGTGGCGAGGGTGTGTACCAGTGTTACTTATACTTGCTTTTATCCTCTTCACCACTGATGGCTCGTTACCCGCTTGGGCAACCGGTCACGTCTCTGGTACGCACTGTTGGCAAGTACTGGGCATGTACTTGCTCCTGAATGTATCTGAACCTGCTCCAGTGCTTGTCAAGTCTGGCCTTGAAAGACCTAGCACTCGGTGTCGTCACAACACTTTCCGGCAGATTGTTCCAAGAGTTCACAACTCTCACTCCGAAAAAGTTTGCCCTCACAGTTTTCTGGACCTGCGGCTTCTTCAATCTTGAGCTGTGACCCCTTGTGGGGCGAGCGTCCGCCAGCTGCAAGTAAGGACACTCGACTGAGCAGTGCCCTTTGAGATGCTTATACACCTCAATTAAGTCGCCCCTTGCCCGTCTGTAGTATAAGCTAGGCAAGTTCAGGCTCTCCAATCTCTCATGGTAGTTCAGGTGCCGAAGTGCAGGCACAGGTCTGGTGGCCCTCCTTTGAACATTTTCAACCAACTGACTTTGCATAGAGGTAAGCGCCTTTGGGTTTGACTTGACCTCGCTTGCAACCAGCCTCTGGAACTCCTTTTCAGCCCTTCTACCCTCTGCCTTTGCTTAGTTTCTGGCTCTTGCATACATCCTCCTGTTCTGCTCATCGTTTGACCTAACCCACGTCTTGAATTTCTGGGTTTTCTTCTCAATTTTGTCGACCACTGCATGGTTCATGTGTAGAGATCCCCTCGTATTCCTAGAGGCACTGGGTTTGGTCTTGGGTATATACAGTATTTATCGATCAAATGGGTCACTTTACGAGTTATGATATTCAGCGTAGTGTCTGCGTTCTTGTGCCTTAACGAGTCATGTCAGTGGATACCCCTCATCTCTTCCCTCATCCCGTTATAATTTCCCTTGGAATATTTGCACTTTGGCCTGGCCTTATCTTCAACTAGGTAACAGTTATATCTGAATGACAACACTATATGGTGACTGGTGCCAACTGGGACAAGGGTTCCAGTTTGGCCACCATACCCTCCTCGTTTGTTATGATGAGGTCTAGGGGCTTGGGTGTTTGCTCCCCTCTGTAATGTGTCGGGGGTCGCTAACATGTTGGAACAGAAAATTATCACTCAGAGTTTCTACAAACAGAGTAGCAGGGTTATTCAAGTCATTTGGGGTGAACTCGTTTCGCCAGTCGATATCGCCATAGTTAAACTCCCCCATGATAAGGAGGTGGCTAGGGTTGATCATCGCTGCGTTGTCTATTAAGCGCCATAATGCGATGGTGGCGTGCTAGCTACTGACGTTGAATTAATTATAACCTTTCAGAATGAGTGACATCGTTAAGTAGGAAACATCCGAGTATGGCGGTAACCTCGTCATTTATGGACCTAAATTGGAATTCTAATGTGCTTTCTCCTTCGTGGGTGTGTGTGATGGGGCACTGTGTGTATTAGATTGTTAATTACAGATGACGCGTGATGTGAGGAGTTAGTGGTCACTACACTGCCCACCCACCCACACAACCACCTATTCATTCACCATCTCATCAGGGTAATTAATAACAAAAGGAAAATGTTATTATTAACTGTATACAACACAATAATTTTTTTTTTAATTTTTTGGGGGTAAAATAGAAAAGCATATCTCTTTCTTGCTTAAGACCGACTATGATGAATGTACAGAACTAAAGATATGATTCATCTATTTAAAAAAAAAGTTAAATTTCCTCTGTGGGAAAATCTGCAGTTTGAGAATTTTCGCCATTGTAGTATATTTAAATCCAGTACGTATCCCATAGTTTCGGAGATTCTAACTCGTATAATAACTAGTTACAACGAATTAGAGGGCAAGAAACGCCACACACACAACCTTTATGTAGGGTCCCTTGGGGTCCATCTCTTCATTTTTCATAAACAAGAGAGAAAATCTAGATCATCGATTGAAAACAAGATTAACACAAAAAGGTAGGAAAGTGGAAGAGTTGAGAGGAAAACAAACTGTGTCTGAAGAGAGTGAGAGAGAGAGAGAGAGAGCCACCTCGGGGAAAATATAACTTCGTGTCGCCCTCACTCTAGTAGAACTTCGCTAAAGTTTACTGATAATGTGCAAACTTGTTCACGCTCGTCTCTTACATGATGTGAAACCACAGCTACAACAATAAGAACACCGACAACAATCGTAACAATCACAAAAGCAATAAAAAAAATTAAGACCACCAACAACAATCACAGTAAAACAATATATTAAGAACAACAACAATCACAATAATAAAAACAATAAATTAAGAACAAAAACAATACATTAAGAACAACATCTATCACAAGTATAAAGTAAGAACACCAACAACAATAACAATATATTAAGAACACCATCAATAATAACAACAATAAAACCAATAAATTAACAACTACAACAATCACAATACAGATAACTCTCTCATCAGCTTTCAATAGTTGCTGAACTAGTATAATAACTAACCTAATTACATGCCGACAGACTTCAGTTATTGAAGCATATCATTAACGCTGTAACAGTCAAATAAAACTCTTATTTATGCCCCTGAAGTTTAAAACAGTAGTGATGGAATTCAGTTAATTTAATACAGTGGGGACTCGTCTCGGTGACTGGTCGACTCATAAGGACTTCAAAGCAACGGCTGACACTTCGGTCGGTAATTTGGTCGAGATTGTGAAGTTATGGTTGGCAGGTTGGGATTGTGAGGTTGAGATGTGGTTGTGAGGTTATGGTTGAAAGGTAGTGATTATGTTTGAGTTGGTAGTTGTGAGGTTGAGAAGTTATGGTTGCACATCCTGTGCAAGGTGAAGCGCAGAAGCGCTTACAGCGCCCATCTGGGAAGCATGCCAAGTTCATGCTTGCCTTTGTCTCATGAGTTAAGGGCGTAGAAGCCTGAAGGGTCATAGGTTTTTTGTCAAGGGCGTAGAAGCCTGAAGTCATAGGTTTTTGTCAGCAAGTTATTGGAAGCTCCAAAAACTTTCCCTAAATACGAATTCGCAACTTTGTGGCCGAGGTTATGGCTGAAAGATTGTGGCTATGAGGTTATGGTTGGAAGGTTGTGGTTGCGAAGTTTAAGTTGAGGTTATGGTTGAGAGGTTGTGGTTGTGAAATTATGGTTGAGAGGTTGTGGTTGTGAAATTATGGTTGAAAGGTTGTGGTTATGATATCATAATTAAGGTTGTGGTTGAAAGATTGTGGCTATGAGATGAAGGCTGTGAAGTTATGATTGATAAGCTTTGGTTAAGGTTATGGTTGGAAAGTTGTGGTTGAGATTGTGGTAAAGGTTATGGTTGAGATTGTGGTTATGAGAATCTGATAAAAGTAACTATTCCCACAAAAAGAAAATTTATAAAAAAAATATAATGGTAGTGGTAGCAATATTTAAGCAGTGGTGGATCCAGGGGGTCTGGGGTCCGGAGTCCCCCTTTTCATCAGAATATTCCAATACTTTTTCTTTTTTGCAGTATTGTACTCAGGCATTTTTGTTTAGTAAAATGTAATTACTGCTGACCTCCGAATACCTCATAATATCAAGTGCACATGGCTTCAAAATGGCCTCAAAATAACGTGTGTTATTCCTGGATCCGCCCCTGTAACAGGTAGTGGCTAATTTTGGAAGTAGTTATGATGATGGTGGTAGTCGTAGAAGTTATAATGGAGGTAGCAGTAGTAGTTATAACGGTGGTGTAATAGTTATAGTTGTGGTAGTAGTAGTTGTAATGGTAGTAATAATGGTGGTGGTAGCAGAAGTTATAATGGTGGTTTTATTAGTAGTTGTGGTTTTATTAATTATTATTATTATTATTATTATTAGTGGTAGAAGTAGTAGTTAATCAATTAAGATACAATATATATTAAGAATAATTCTGGAAATTTTCAAGAAAACAATTTATGATTATCAGTTTTATTGAATTGAACTGAAACAGGATTTCTTCGGCTCCAACGTATCACCAAGGAGGAAGATATTAACAAAGTAATACTCATTTGGAATTGTATAAACAATATATCTAATTTTGACAACATTATAGGTGAATAATATATATAAAATCATTCTCTATTTATATTCACAAAAGCAATACAATATGCTCTTGCCACTTTACTTAAACAACAGCAACAATCATAAGAAAAACATAACGATAAGATTTGCCAAATATCGCCATTATTTTATCCCATTTCTTAGGTTTAGATCAAAATACGTAATATTACTCACAAACTTAATCTACAATTAGAAAAAACCCACAGACGAGTGAGGTTAATTAATAAAGACTGAGATACCGAGATTTATAAATAAAGGCGAATAAAGTTACCTGGAATAAACTATAAAACAAAACTTTATTAATAACTCGACTTCCTTCTTGACTAGCTGGGATGACTGACTGGCCAGCGAGAATTTAAAACGCATTACCTCAAATACCAACAATCTCACTCACACACTGAAGCTATCACACTCGCCAGCAGGTCGTAGGCGTGCCCATAACACCAGAGAAATAGGACCTCTCTACAATACTACAAGCACATAAACTTTAATGGTACGTGGTATAAATACAGGCTACATTTGATAGTGACCAGTGACCTAGAGTGACCTGGAGGACCGTGGCTCAGGTCAGGAGTGTTAAATTATAAATGTGTGTGTGAAGACAAGAAGTCGGCCGCCTTGCCATATACTGTACTCGTATACTGTTGTGTAGGCTACTGTGTATCCTGTCATATTGCTGCTTTATATAAACTCGTGAGGTATAAACTCGGGATGAAGTTTATTAAATTTACCAACAACTGGGCCAAAATTAAGGTCACAGCAGTGTGTGTGAGTAACGGTCAGACTTCAGCGCGGCAATAATTCATTCAGCAGGTGGCTGCTTACTCACCACCACAAACAACTTCTAAAAATACAACTTGTGTATTTACCTACCATAATAGATGCTTATACAACAAAATAATCCAAGTCCACTCTGTATTACTATTATTTTCTATGGCTTTCACATCGATTTCTCAAGTAAATTTAAGTGCTTGTGAAACTAGACTCGCAAGGGTCGGGGAACTTTTTTGGGTATTACCCACAAAAAATTTTGAGTAAAATGAAATTACCTCCAGACTTCAAAGTACACTAGTACAGCAAAAAAGAAAAAAAAAAAAGACAATTTGCTCCTAAAATTGTTGGATATGGTATATATGTATACAAAAAAATTCAATTTCATTACCCCCAAAATTTTTAGATTTACCCCATTTGGAGTAATTTACCCCTGTTCCCCGACCCTTGAATTACTAGAGCATAGTGTGGCGGTGGGCGAGTGGAGGTGGTCGACTTTAAGTGGGTTAGACAGTGCCCGGGTGGACGTCTCACACGGTACACTTTAAGGTGATATTTATACATCCACATGATCTATTTCAAGATCAAACTCACATCTCTCAAAAACCAGCCCAAGACCAAATGGAAGACGTAAATATAAATTCACTTATTTTAAAGTCTAGCCAGTGAACAAAAATCAATCTGTAGAGTAGAACACACAAGCCATCTATGCATCCGACTTGCGTCACATAATGAAAACAGGTGTTAGGGATTACTGAACCACTACACACAGGCACAACAGGTGTTAACACTACAATATTACGGCAGGTTTTGGGGTCACACATAATAGGCATTGTGGCGCGCGCTGGATTATTTTTAAGGATAAAGCAGTTCTTGAAGATAGACAGGTATTGAAATAAGCGCCTCTGTAGACGTAGATTAGGTGTTGACACAGTTCTTCTAATAGACGTATATGCTGGAAAATATATAGGCAAGGTGGAGGGGAGAAAGGCGGGTGGCCAGGGTAGGTGAAGACGCTCGTTCGCTCAGTCACTCCAGGTAAAGAGGAGAGGCAGGGTCAAGAGCGGGTCAGCTGTTCGCGGGTTCTTCATCCAGATCGTCCACGTTTTCTCCACCAAGTCGAACACTCCTGTAGCCAGAAATACACAAATTCTCAAAGTTATGCATTTTAAAACTCTTTCTGCATCCTAAGCTTTCTTTTACTATAGATATGAAAATACTGTAAATCTATTCCCCACCTGAAGCTTCGATAAATAGGACTTAAATATTTATGTATCTAATAGTTCACATGTAATATCTATGTGTGAAGCAAAACTTGCTGCAGGCACATAAATCTTTATTCCGTTACAAAAAATTTATGAACGAATTCCAAAACAAGTTAATCTGTGTCTTATGTAGTTAACACTAAGAACTCTTTAATTTGTATTTTTCTCTATTGTTTATATTTCTAACCCCCTTTTGACCTTAAAACACACAAAGGGAAATGGCGCAGGGAGAGGGGTGAAAGGGGGGGGGGGGTGTTTACCCGAGTCCCTTGATGTTAAATTCAGAGTCCCTCAGTGTTTGTAAATGAAGAGTCCCTAGATTTTTGTGTTTATAGAGTCCCTTGATGTTTATTTTTGCAGACCCTTGAAACTAAGGCAAACGTGTGCAACATCACTGCTTCGCCCGTCTGTTCCCCATTGCCTAAACATCATTATCACCATTGGCATCTGCAAGGAACGCCGTAGGTGGATACACAAGGGGTGCAGCGTTCGCATTAATGAGAATCCGGGTTGAGAGGAGTCTGACACGACGACAGCTTAGTCAGCTAAACCTTGTATACGTTCCTCCCACCACTGACAAGGTAAGTTGGCGGTAAACGGGGGAATGGTAGATGTCCCCGTCCCACTGCCCCCCTCCCTCCCACCGCCTCCCTCCCTCCTTCTCCCTGCCTTACCACTGCATCCTCCTCCAGCCTTCCCATTCCCCCCCTCCCTCCCACTGCCGCCTCCTCCCTCCTTCCAGATACTGACCAAGAGCGACAGTTTTAACAAAGTCCGGGTCGCCGCCCTCCCTGAAGAACGGGAAGGTCGTGTCGTGAGTGTCGGAGAGGAGAGCTAGGAGAGCAGTGCGTGTCTCCGGAGGACAACAGTCGTGGGCGCGGGTGTGGCGGTGATTACTGCTGGCCATACACAACCCATCGTCTTCTGGGATGCTCAGCCGGAGGTACCTGCAACACAGCCGTTAGGAGAGGACTTTTGTTATTACTATAGGCAAGAGCTTAAACTAGATTGCTCAAAGGGTTAAACTACGAGTATAGTCTCTAAAGGGTTAAAAATTAGTTCTCAACGGGTTAAAACCATCGTCTTCAAAGGGTTAAACACACACACACACACACACACACACTTGTAATTATAGATCGGATTAAATTTAGTTAAATGTGTAGTATTAGGTGTCGACGCTCTGGTAACTCACTTGTTAGTATGCAACAGGTGCTCCCCAGGGCTGAGAGTGAGGATAGACAGCTCGCTCTCCTCCGTGTCCTGAACGGGGCCAACTTCGGCGTTGTGGAAGAGATGGTCTCCCTCCTGGCGGGTGAAACTCATGTTGACACTGAACCCGTCGGCTGACCCCGTTCCTCGGTCACGCAGGATCTGTTGGGCCTTCTCCATCGTCTTGGACGACAGCAATGCCCGACATAGGAAGTGACGAGCTGGACGAATACACAAGAGGTTGAGAAAGAACACAAGACTATCCTACAATTGGTGACATTACTGTACAACTTTACTAAACCATCACATCAACTGACTAAGTGAAAGGTACTTATGCATAGACATTAAAAAAAAAGACTGCCAATAAAGTGCAGCAGTGATCCCCGCTGCATCACACACAAAAATCCCAGGAGTCAAAATTACCAACAGTAACGACCTCGTGTTAAATATTCAGAAATTAATTCCATTGACCAAAAATCTTAGAGTCTGGAGGTTAATGTCAAAATATTTATTAAATAATTTGACTAACATCGTGAGATTCATCCAAATAAGTTCGGTTATAATAGAGTTCCTGTACTTATTCAGTCTTTCGTGTGAACTACGGACCGAGGAACGGACGTCAACACGAACATAAAGTAAACATTCTCAAGACCTCTTCCCTGGGCGGCGGGGGACGAGGAAGAAGGGAAGATTTTGGTAACTTACGGGTCTTGCCAGCGAGGACCTTCTGAGGGCTGATGATATTGATGGAGAAGACGAGACCATGGTGGTTATATCCCATACAGAAGCCTGGCAGATGACCAGCGTAACACAATGCCGTGAAGCCTTCGCTACGTGTGCCCCACTTCCCCTGAGGCTCCTCCTCCGTGATGTGCGCCGACACGAGATACACATGGTTGAGTGTATCCGGTAGGGCGTCCTCTGTGTGGCCCAGTAATACCTGCAGCAGATGGAGGGTGAATAGTACTCTACAGTAGACCCTCACCCACCCCGACATGCGAGACTTAAACAACCTGCTTTTACAGTCGATGGCAAGAGCTGTAATTAATGTCTCTTATCTACCCTAGTAACGTATCCCTACCTCTCCATCTTTCCGTTTGTGTACATGTGTGCTCGCATGTGTACGTGTGTATGAACGTGTACGTGTCTGAGCGTACTGTGTAACTGCGTTCATATATGCGTGTGTGTTTGCGCATATATATATATATATATATATTTTTTTTTTCCAAGCAATGCTACTCTACCTGTTTTTGAACGGTTGGTAGTTCTACATTCGCGACCCTTGAGCATGAATGAGTATGCTATACCTTTTTCGAACGGTACGTACATTAATATAGCTTAATGGATTTATTGTTATATTGAAGTATCTAGTATACCATACAAGGACAACTCCCTCCCCCAATCTCACCCCCCTAGCTGTTGCTGATATGGCGAGCAGACATACCAACTTAAGATTATGCACAGGGTATCATATCAAAGCATTTCGTCTAGCGTTTCAAATTGTAGCGGTGGAAAACCTAACGATACTCTTTTGAGGGATTGTACGTGTGAGGGTGCGTGTACGTGTGAGGGTGCGTGTACGTGTGTGTGTGTGTGCCTTCCGTGTTGTAGGTCTTCACATAATCTGCCACCAGAATTGTACCTGGGGTCACCTGGCCACACATTCCACCCATTTAACTCGCCTGGTCACCGGAAGTAGAACAGAGCAGTATGTAGTATTTGCACTTGTTTATTGAGGTTAATGAGTGTTTGTAACTTTCTAACAATGATAATCTCTCTGGCATTTGAAAATTGGTACTATGAATCGACTTTTCATCGTCTGTCTACACGTCTATTACCTGAGAAACAGACAGTAGATAAGGCTGCACTTCAACCTATAAATCTGTCACTGTTGATTGCGTATTATGTACACCTGTTCTACACCGTCAGGTACGTCTACGCACCCGCCGGGAACGTCTACGCACCCGCCGGGAACGTCTACGCACTCGCCGGGAACGTCTACCCACCCGCCGGGAACGTCTACCCACCCGCCGGGAACGCCTACACACCCGCCGGGAAGGTCTACACACCGGTCAGAAATGTCTACACACCTGTCCATCGTGGTTAACGCAGACGGAGGAGCAGCCGTTGGTGCCAGAGGATCGTTCCTGACCAGAGTTCATAGGCACGATCTGGTCCATGTGGAGAAGCATCAACTGTGATACGTAAACAAAACATCAGCCGTGACACGTAAACAAAACTTCAGCCGTGACACGTAAACAAAACTTCAGCCGTGACACGTAAACAAAACATCAGCTGTGACACGTAAACAAAACATCAGCTGTGACACGTAAACAAAACACGTCATTAGTGGAGCCTCAGTTGGAACAAGTAAACAAAACAAGTTATTCCTTTACCAACATACCAACAGAACATAAGAATGGAGGAAACTGCAGCGGGCCTATTGGCTCATACCCCTATTGCTCATATATCCATCCAACCTATGTTTGAAGCTATCTTCTAATTTACATAGAAAATCTGGGTACATGTTATTCTCTAGGGAAGCAAGGTAATGCCGAACTACCAAACAAGCTTGTAATGGTCTTTCCTTAACCATAGTCCTAACAAATAGAGAATGGGAAGGAGAAGGCAATATGGTATACCCAGGGGAGCCAAATATGTTCCTGGGTTAAGACTACCAAGTTCTTTGGATCACCTGATGATTACACTAACGAGGTCAGGTAAGGGTATTTAATTATTTAATCATGTCAATAAGCTTGAGATGTATAATATCCAGGTGATCCTTATTTTAATTCAAATGTCTAATAACACATTCAATATCTCGTTGGTACGTCAGTTGGACTCACGTGGTGGAAGGGGACGTGAGCGCCGTCAGCTGTTCCCTGCAGCTCCCTGACATACTGAGGGAAGTTCTCCTGCAGGGAGGCGAGAGTCAGGTCGTAGGCTGCCTTGCCCTCGGTGGTCTCGTAGGCCGGCAAGAGACTCTTGTGCAGCTCCTTGAAGGACGCCAGGAAGTCCTCGATTATTCCGCGGAAGGTTCGTCCCTAGAAAAAGCGTCCTGCTGTGTGACTTCGTATTCTTAGTAACACAAGTAACGACAGTACGAACATTCTCTGGCTCCTGGTGTTACAGACCTTTATACTTAATACTCCTGGCTTAACTTCTATAGACACGGCAGCTTGGCGTGTAAAGTAGAGCAAAGGTTCTTATGAACAGCTCGGAAACACCCCCACCCCGCTGGCCGCCTCCACCCTCGCGAAAGCAGAGTCAGACGAACCTTTCCTCACCTGCTTCGTGGGGAGCTCTACTAGCATTTACACCTTGGACTCACGTGTACAGTACACAACATACAGAAGATACACCACAAACACTTACACAAGAAATACAGAAGATTCGTATACACACGAATACAAAACACACACATGCATATGTTTAGGTAAAGGGCATATACACAAAACATCAAGGGAATAAACCTCTCTCTCACGAGGCAATACTTCACGGAATCTCCATTTTTCTCGCCTGGGTAAGGAAGAAAGAGGTGCTTAACGGTGCTTAACGTTCAGATCTTAAGATTTCGTTAGTATTAGGACATGAATGACGGCCAAGGCGCCCCCCCACCCTTCTCTACCTTTACCCCTCCCCTCCCCTCCTGTCTGGGTGTGTTCGTGTCAGGAGTCCCAACCACCATCACCACCACCAACCATCAGCATCACCTACCATAACCACTACCTATCACCATTTACCACCGTATGACCTACCGCCACCAGCGACTACCTCTGATCGTTACCGTCTTTGGTATTGTTAAACAGCTGCACGTTGGTTTGTTTCTTACCTCCAGTGTACGGCTTCCAGAGGAGGAGGAGGAGGTGAAAGAGATATCAACTTTAACACAAACTTTAAAGCGAATGTTTTATCTTACTATGTGTTGAGTGTGGTAAAGAAGGTATTGAGCCCTGTAGTATTGTGGATCTACATATTTTCTTCATGTTATTTACCGATATTAAAGGGAGTGTGACCTTTATCAGCTCGTATCTCAGAACGAGTTTTTCTAATCTTCAAATTATTAAAACTCTGCTATTTATGGGCCGACTCTAAAAAACTAAAAAATAATTAGATTAAAACATACTGTACATTGCGTAACATAGTTTTTTTTTTTTGCTTGACTTATTATTTGCAGATTAAGCTTTATAGTTATTTGGAGGAAAATATGGTAAGTTAGGAAAAAATTAAGTGATGATCAAAAATATCACTGTTAGCTTCAAGAAGAGTAACTTACCTATATATCTCACAAATTTCAACGTAATTTAGCAAAAAGTTATGGAGAAGTAAGATTTTAAAATTTGATAATATAAGGGACAAATCAGATAACGGGGATTATGTATTAGGCAGAACCCATTCAGGGGTATAGTAACAATGTATCTGATGTCCTTAATTGCTGACAGGAAATAGATATTGATTGATCAGTTATTAACGAATTTCGTACTCTAGCCAGACACTCACCTTAAGTTGATGATCGTTCAGTGACTTAGAATTGTCTTGGTAATCACACATCTTATGGTGATTTTGTCCTGAACCTTCAAAAAATATAGGAACTTAAAATTTCTCCTCTATTACAATCAGGCAACACGATTCAAAACAGAAAATACACACAACACAAAAACACGCGCACGTGCACGCACACTCACATATGCAAAACAACCACACGTTTATGCAGAAAAATACTACCAACCAACTAACTTACAACATCGTATCCCACATCATAGTGAGTACCGCTCGTATACAGAATGGGGATGGCGTTACGACGGCTGCTATCTTGAGAAGGACGAGAGGAGCAGAGATGAGGAGAGGAGGAGGTATAGTAGTATCGGAGACCCAGGTAGTCAAGTCAGGTCACCCGGGGACGATGTTCTGTGAGGGAGATATGAAGATATTTGTTGATAGTAGAAGAGTATTATTATCATCATCATCATCATCATTATCATCATTATTATCAGTAGTAGCAGTAAATATATAGGCATTGTTCTCCATAAACACTATCACTCGCGGTAGATTGTGTAAGAAATATTTAGCACTGCATCAGTGTTGGTGAGGAGAATCGCTGAATTGCATGTAGCGAGACGTGACGATGAGTGTTGATAATAATCCGTCGTATGGGTTGGAATTATCTGCTGCTGTTGTGTTTTAGAGGAAAATATTGTAACAATTCTTAGCTAATAACCAACCACATTTCACTTCTTATGTCAGAAGGTAAAGGATTATCTTCAATTTCAACGCAAAATGGGAACTAGTTTATTGAGCACACCATTACATCTCCTTACACCACCACCACTTATCACCCACACCACACCACCACCCGCCCACACCACTAACCACACCACACCACCACCCGCCCACACCACCACCGCCCGCCCACACCACAACATTCATTCCTCCCTCTCACCCATGCTACCTATAACTACCTTCTTCCAACCACCACCACCTATCTCCCTTCCGCCTGCCACCGCCACCACTCCTCCTCCTTCCTCCTCCTGTCGCCACCACTCTCCTTCCTTCCCTCCTGTCGCCACCACTCTTCCTTCCTTCCCTCCTGTCGCCACCACTCTCCTTCCCTTCCACCGCCACCACTCTCCTTCCCTTCCCTCCCACCGCCACCACTCTCCTTCCCTTCCCTCCCACCGCCACCACTCTCCTTCCCTCTTCCTCCCACCGCCACCACCACTCTCCTTCCCTTCCATCCTGCCGCCACCACTCCTCCTTCCTTCCTCCCACCGCCACCACTCTCTCCTTCCTTCCCTCCCACCGCCACCACCACTTTCCTTCCCTTCCATCCTGCTGCCACCACTCTCCTTCCTTTCCTTCCCTGCCGCCACCAACTCTCCTTCCTACCCTTCCCTCCCACTGCCACCACTTTCCTTCCTTCCTCCTGTCGCCACCACTCTCCTTCCCTTCCCGCCGCCGCCACCACTTCCTCTTCTCCCCCGCCGCCGCCACCACTCTCCTTCCCTTCCCTGCCGCCACCACTCTCCTTCCTTCCCTATCGCCGCCACCACTCTCCTTCCCTTCCCTATCGCCGCCACCACTCTCCTTTTCCTTCCTTCCCTCCCACCGCCACCACTCTCCTTTCCTTCCTATCGCCGCCACTCACTCTCCTTCCCTTCCCTATCGCCGCCACCACTCTCCTTCCCCTTCCTTCCACCGCCACCACTCTCCTTTTCCTTCCTCCCGCCGCCGCCACCACTCTTCCTTCCCTTCCTCCCGCCGCCACCACTCTCCTTCCCTTCCCTCCGTCGCCACCACCACTCTCTTCTTCCTCCCCACCGCCACCACTCTTCCTTCCCCCTCCTGTCGCCACACTCTCCTTCCCCTTCCCTTCCACCGCCACCACTCTCCTTCCCTTCCCTCCCGTCGCCACCACTCTCCTTCCCTTCCATCCCGCCGCCACCACTCTCCTTCCCTTCCCTCCCACCGCCACCACTCTCCTTCCCTTCCCTCCGTCGCCACCACTCTCCTTCCCTTCCCTTCCACCGCCACCACTCTCTTCCTTCCCTCCCTCGCCGCCACCATCTCCTTCCTTTCCTCCTGCCGCCGCCACCACTCTCCTTTCCTTCCCTTCCTCCCACCGCCACCACTCTCCTTCCCTTCCCTCCCACGCCACCACTCTCCTTCCCTTCCTCCCGTCGCCACCACTCTCCTTCCCCTTCTTCCACCGCCACCACTCTCCTTCCTTCCCTCCTGTCGCCACCACTCTCCTTCCCTTCCATCCCGCCGCCACCACTTCCTTCCTTCCCTCCCCACCGCCACCACCACTCTCCCTTCCTTCCCATCCCGCCGCCACCACTCTCCTTCCTTTCCTTCCCTGCCGCCGCCACCACTCTCCTTTCCTTCCCTTCCCTCCTGTCGCCACCACTCTCCTTCCCTTCCTTCCACCGCCACCACTCTCCTTTCCTTCCCGCCGCCGCCACCACTCTCCCCTTCCCTTCCCTCTCGCCGCCACCACTCTCCTTCCCTTCTTCCCTATCGCCGCCACCACTCTCCTTCCCTTCCCTATCGCCGCCACCACTCTCCTTTCCTTCCCTTCTCCCACCCACCACTCTCCTTCCTTCCTCCGTCGCCACCACTCTCCTTCCCTTCCCTTCCACCGCCACCACTCTCCTTTCCTTCCCCGCCGCCGCCACCACTCTTCCCTTCCTCCCACCACCCACCCTCTCTTCCTTCCTATCTTGCCACCACTCCTTCCCTTCCTGCCGCCACTCCTCCTTCCCTCCCCACCACCACCACTCTCCTTCCCTCCACCACCACCACCACTCTCCTTCCCTCCCCACCACCACCACTCTTCCCTTCCTCCCGCCACCAACCTCTCCTTCCTCCCACCACTACCACCACAAGATCACCCATTAAATTTTCGCGCCAACACGGACCAACGTTACACTACCCCAGACATTACCCGAGAGATCTGCTTGGCTTTTTTTTTTTTTTTAGCTTATCTATCTCAGGTGGTGTGGCCAGCTAGGACAAGACTTATCAGCTATGGACCACCTGGGAATCTCACCAACACACTGTGACAAAGATGAACTCAAAATAGAACAAGAGGCAGTTTTTTATTTTCTCGATATCATATACCTTTTATAGGGGGTCACTATGCATGGACGGCACTCGCATACATGACGGCACAATATCCATGGATGGCGTTGGGTGTGAATAGTTAAAGGCGTGGATCTTGAATAGGGTTAATGGAGTAGAATGTGAGGTTAGTGACATTTTAAAGAATCACTTGAAAAAATAATTAACTAAAATTTTAAATGTATCATCAGGTGAAAAATATTAACTGTGGAGTATAAGTTGAACCATCAATATAAGCATATTTAGGTACAAGTTAATATTCTCACTGACACACAATTTAACACCCCTATACACACGTTAAAGCCCTCACACACACACACACACACACACACACACACACACACACACACACACACACACACACACACACACACATTCACCCTCACACACACACACACGTTAAAGCCCCCCTCACACACACACACACACACACATTAAAACCCCTCACCACACAAACACACATACACACACACGTTAACCCCTCACTCCACACACACACACACACACATTAAACCCCTCACTCACACACACACACACACACACGTTAAACCCCTCCCACACACACACACACACACACACACACACGTCCCCCAAACATACACACCTCCAGCACCCCTCCCACACAAAGTTGACACCCCCACTTATCAAGTTGACACCCCATATCCAAGTTACACCTCCAACTATCCAGTTGACACCCTCCCCATATCAGTGACACCCCATATCCAAGTTGACATCCCCACATATCAAGTTGACACCCCCACATATCCAAGCTGACATCCCCCACATATCCAAGTTGACACCCACATATCAAGTTGACAACCCATCCCACATATCCATGCTTACACCCCCACATATCCCAGGAATACCCCACCTATCAGTTGACACCCATATCCAGGACAATCCATCCCACATATCCATGCTTACACACATATGAAAGTTGACACCCACACACGCAAGTTGACACCCCCACTTATCCATGTTGATACCCCATATCCGTGCGACACCCACATATCCAAGTTGACACCCATATTCAAGTTGCCACTTATCCAAGTTGACACCCCATATCAAGTTGACACCCCACATATTCAATTGACACCCCCCATATCAAGTTGACACCCACATATCCAAGTTGACACCCCTCACATCCAAGTTGACACCCCACTTATCCAAGTTGATACCCCCACATATCAAGTTGACACCCCACATATTCAAGTTGACACCCCACATATTCAAGTTATTTCCACTTATCCAAGTTGACACCCCATATCCAAGTTACTCCCCATATATCAAGTTGACTCCCCACATATCCAAGTTCCTCCCCGTATCAAGTTGACTCCCTATCCAGTTGACTCCCACATAGCCAGTTGTGCCCAACATATCCAGTTGACACCACCACATATTCAAGTTGATACTCCCCACTTATCCAAGTTGACCTCCCCACTTATCCAAGTGACCAACCCCCATATCAAGTTGACACCCCACTTATCCAAGTTGACACCCCCCTTATCAAGTTGACACACCCCCCACATATCAGTTGACACCCCCATATCAAGTTGACACCCCTCCAGTTGACACACCCCCCATATCCAAGTGACACCCCACTTATCCAGTTGTTGCCCCACTTATCCAGTTGACACACCCCCACTTATCCAAGTTGACACACCCCCACTTATCCAAGTTGACACCCCCACTTATCCAAGTTCACACCCCCACTCTATCCAAGTTCACACCCCCACTTATCCAAGTTCACACCCCACCCCATCGCAAGTTGACACCCCCACTTATCCAAGTTGACACACCCCCACTTATCCAAGTTGACACACCCCCACCTCTTATCCAAGTTGACACCCCCACTTATCCAAGTTGACACACCCCCACTTATCCAAGTTCACACCCCACTTATCCAAGTTCACACCCCACTTATCCAAGTTCACACCTCCCACTTATCCAAGTTCACACCCCTACTTATCCAAGTTACACACCCCCATCCAAGTTGACACCCCCACCTTATCCAAGTTTACACCCCACTTATCCAAGTTGACACACCCCACTTATCCAATTGACACCCCCACTTATCCAAGTTGACACCCCCCACTTATCCAAGTTCACACCCCCACCTTATCCAGTTGACACACCCCCCACTTATCCAAGTTGACACCCCCCACTTATCCAAGTTCACACCCCCACCTTATCAAA